CAAGACTGCATTTTCTGGCTTTTAAAAGGGCAAGAGCACACTGTATTCTAGAGGCTACACCGTGTAAACACGAGTAGAATAAGCCTACTGGCCTGCAGGCCTTTCAGCTGAGCAGTAACTGTTCAGGTGGCCTGAAGTGAGTGGAGAAAGGCAAGGAGGGGGTAACAGTCATTAGAAAGGGTCTCTTCTGCTTATCGTGACTCTGTTCATGCTTGGAGCAGGCCAAAGCCAGCCTTGTATCTCGCCACTGACTGAGAACACACCATTAATGTAGCCACATTTTGACAAGAAAAATGAAGAGAGCTATTTCCTGTGGCCTCGAGTGCTTGGGCAGAATAATGAGCGGCAACTCTACTTCCCCTGCGAAGATCCAGATGGAGGACTTTCTCTCTTTTCTCTCTCTATCTTGAGGCAGAGAAACAGGGTCAGGCACACATTGTCTGCTCCTATCAAGGTCAGGCTTTCCAAGACGTGAATTAGATAAATTATAGCCAGTCCTGTCATCACTTATCTGATGCAGTTCTCATACTTTGAGGGAACTGGTTTGATAGCAGAATCATATATGTGTTTGAGGTTTACCTTGACCAGATTTAAATTTGTATCTGAGAAAGGTCCTTGGGGGTTGGATTCAATGGCAAGGTCTCCAAAAAAAGCATACAAATGGTTTAAAACTGTTACAATGTTTATATTAATATTTGTGAAGCCTCCAAAGCCAGGGTTTCTTCTGTCTTGCCAGGAACTTCCTGTTTAGACAGGCAAAGCCTATTTGATTGGCATGCAAAATGACCAGACCTTTGTGTTTGCATGATGGGTAGGGGCAGGGGTTTTCAAATTTGGCACTACAACAAAAACAGACCTGCATGAAATAAAGTGATATGCATCAGTTAACACATGAGGATGTCTCATTTAGTAGCTACTGGATGCTTTAACGAAAACGCTTCAACGCTTTTCATTCTGGCAACTATATCTTGCTCCAGAAGGTTCACTGCGTGGAGATGTTTGTTCCCCATTGCACTGGTTAAAGCCAGTATTGAGGCACGGATAGGTGAGGAGAATGTAACTGGCAAAATTCTGTTGTGGTGATCAATCTTTGTCAGACAGTCCGTGTATCTCTGTGTGGAGAGCTTCTAAGGCTGAGACAAGTAATTGAGTAATCTACTGATTATTTTGAAGATTAATCTAGTTTTTTGAAAGGTCAATCAACAAAAATGTACTCAAATAAACAATAACAAACTTTGAATACATTCTAAAATCATTCTTTTTAAAAATATACACTAAACAAGTCTTTAAAAAGAAACTGTTACAAAAAGTGCTTATAAATGGATATGTGTTAGTATCCATCTGGCTCTGATTCTTAGGCAGGCAATTTACTTAAAACAGAAATAACATTTTGAAGCAAAACTAGAGGTGGGTGATCTGATCAGCTGCAATTGAGAAAAAAGGAGCAGTAATGTTGCATTTTAAAAATACTATCAGAAACTGAATACAATGATTTTTATTTAATATTTGGCCTACTGTATTGCACTAAATCCAGTTAAACCAGACTAATTTTGGTCTTTTTATAACTTTATATGAAGTTATTCAGTCACAAGTACTAACGATATACATGATACATTTAGAAAAGCATATTGTGTTGTATGTTTACACATTTATTTATCACGATCCATATATGTTGTCATATTGCCCAGTCCTAAACAAAAGTTTATTTTTTGGCCAAAATGACGCAGTTGACTAAGTGCGTATGCGGTGTGCGCCGCTTGCTGAACAGAACCCCTAATCACAGTGTTGTTTGTTCCAAGACCTCCCTTTGCCTGTGATTCGTCCATATAGTTTTACATGGTTGCTGTGCCACAGCATGGAGCCTCTAGCGGTGCTGTGACATACACCAAGTTCCTTTTAAATATACTCACGACAGTGTTCAGCAGTAGATCGGTTTCATGTAGTCCTGACAGCTCTACTGTAAGAGAGCTGAGAGAATTTATCATCAGGCTAATCAACAAGTAATCAGCATGGTGGTGCAGTGGGTAGGGCTGTTGCCTCACAGCAAAATGGTCCTAGGTTCGATTCCCGGCCAGCTGACCAGGGTCCTATCTGTGTGGAGTTTGCATGTTCTCCCTGTGTTTGTGTGGGTTTCCTCCCACAGTGTGAATGTATATGTTTATGTGTCTGCCCTGCAATGGACTGGCGACCTGTCCAGGGTGTATACTGCCTTCCTCCCAATGACAGCTGGGATAGGCTCCAGCACCCGCCCCCAGCAACCCAACCCATGATTTTTTTTAATGATAATCAAGTTTACAGCCCTAAAACGACTGTCTGTATGAGTTTTTGCATTTGAATAACATGTATAGCTTTCCAGAGGAAAACTGCATGGATGCATACAGAAATAGAAGACTGGTATAGCAGACCCATACAGTGGAGGAACGAGGCTGTGCTTATTGTGTGGTTTTTCCACGTCTGTGCTCTGAGTGGTAAGATAATGACGGGAAGACCTGTCTGCTGTGCAGGCAGTGTGAATTCACATCCAGAGAGGTGTCAATCAGCTATTTCTGTGCGTGTAAGTGTATGTGTCTGTGTGAGTGTATGTGTGGTTTCAGTGCTTTATTTTGCATTATTTGTTTATTTAACAGGTACAATACACAATCAATTAATCACTGTTTTATAATGTAAATTTGCCAGATGCCAGATTAAGCCAAATGGCCCATTTTCATCTGCTGTCCCTGGGCAGGTTGATGATTAAAAATATGAACAGTCTTCACCTGGGCAAACAAAGTGCGTGTGTTTCATGTTAATGTGAATTTCTGGCTGTGTGTATGTGCTGTGTATGCATACATGAGTGGGTGTGTAATAGGTCTGTGTGATGAATTTTATTTTTATTATCATCACAATATGTGTGTCCTTGATGAACATTCAGTTAAAGGCGTAGTATATGATTCTGAAGAATGATGGTTAATATTTGTACTCAACAGCAAAACAAATGCACCTTTTTCTTCAGTGCTCCTTCAGAAGCTCCGCCTCCAAATTCATGAAGGTACTTTGCTAAGGTGATAGTCACTGTGCTGGCAAACTTGTTTTTTTTAGGTCTTCGTGGCCATAAAAGCCTTTGCAAACATCATACGGACAAATACCATGATAGAACGTTAGAGCAACCAACCACACCGTAAGTAATGTAACTAACGTTTGCTAGGTTGTGGGTTAGCAAACTGTCAGTATAATTGCTATCACAAATGTTACCAAACGGAACAAAACAATACTGACCTACTGGTTCTGAGAAGCAGCAAAAATAAGTTAATCTAACCCACCTGTCAAGCAGAAACAGAGCAGCCTCTTCATCCCTTTTCATGCATTTTAACTCTTGATGAAGCTAAAGTCAGCTTCTTTGTCGCTAGCTTCTTGTTCAGATTTTACCAGTCCACCTTAAATGGTGCAACAGTTATATACATTCAGTGCCTCAGCTTCTTGCTCAGATTTTCCCAGTCCGCCTACATAGGCTACATAGCTGAGAAACTGCTGCACAACTTAAGGTGGAATGAGAAAATGTGAATAGAAAGCCAACGTCAGCTTTGTCAGCTTTCAGAAGTCTCTCCACTGCTCAAACGTCTCACTGTTGACTCTCAAAGGTCTCCCCACTGTTGAAATGCCTCACTGATGTTAACATGACTCTTCAGCCTGTCCTAAGAACTTCTTTTTCAGTCTTGGTTCTTCAGATTGTCTCCTCTTTGGCTGTTTCTGGGACATCTCTCCTTCTGGTCTTAAAACTCGACCTCTCTAAACCACTCTGCTATATACATTTCAAAGCTACTCTATCCTTAACTAACCTATAAACATGTGTTTGTTCTCACTCAGAGTGTTGTATGTGAAGTAGTAGTGGCTAATTCCACAACAAACCCGCATCACCATAAAGGCCATAGCACAGAATATACACCGTGTGGCATCGCAGTGTCCAAACATTTAAAACTATTATTTTGAAGGTACACACAACATTCACTCCAGTGATAAATGCACTCCAGTGCTCACCAACTCCAAACACTGTGCAGTTTCTCAGCACACCAATCAGCATTTTGCAATTACGTTATGTTATTATGTTAAACTAAAGCCACAATAAGCCCACAGAAAGAAATAGTAGAAGACATGGGGCTCGACAAAGACAGTCAGTATTTTAGCTAAACAGACAAATGCTAATGGTACATTAACTCAGCTTACATCGCTAACCTGGTATTTTTTCCCCTCATATCTTTCAGCTCAAAAACAGGATAAAAAAGCAGACTGTTTTTCTAACAACTTTACAGGGTACAAAAAATATGGTTGCAGCTATTAATATTTTATTATTTTCATTTAGCACTTTGCACAATAGTAATTGCTGTTTTTGTAAGTGTAGGCGAGATTTCTGTATAATTGTCTAGCAAAAAAGAGTCTACATTTATTATGCACCCAGGATAAGATGCACAATTTTAATCGTAACATATTGCTTCTCATATCGTCATCGCCATATCCAACAATTTTAACAAACCTCTTACATTTCATGTCCATATCGTGCAGTCCTAGCGTGTATTTGTGTGCGTCTCTAAGGACCATAAAGGCAGAGACAGCAGTGGTTCAGTTGGCTGTGGGCAGGGCACTTCACTGGCTGTGTGATGTATGGTTATGGCCTTTCATCGAGAGCCAATTACGCCTCCTCTGTGTGTGCTGAGGGATCGCTCGCCACACTGCTGTCCATGCACAGAGAATTCCTGGACATCTCCAGCAAGAGTCCCCATAACCCTCTAAGCACACACACATAAATACGTCCCTAGGGCTTTCACTCTTTCCTTCTCCAATGTGGAAATAATAGCAAATGGAATTTTCAATTGTTTTGGCCGATTCGAACACTAACATGCAGACACGCACACAGTGCGCAGCTCTTTCCTCACATGCCTGCTCGTTTTCTCCTGTAGCTTTGACTTCTGCGCCTGAGTGTGCGTGTAAATGAACAATCCTCCCCTCCTCCTCCCCTTTTCTTTCAGAGGTAACAGATGATCCGTTGTTTCTGGGTGCACTGCATGTCATCTCCTGCAGCCTTCACGCACTCTTCTGCAAACACATCTGAGCCCTGCAAACAGGTAAAGACTGCTCTCTCTTATTTCTCTACTCATAGTCCAGTTTGCTTTGTTGTGCAGGTTGAGGAATGAATGTGGCACCTAAAGGTGCAGCTGAGTTTCCTGTTTTGTTTATAGATCCAGCCTCCATGAATCTTAAATGTAACTTAATTTATTTAATAGAATTGTAAGGGGGTGGGCAATAAAATGATGTGCTTGCATTATAGTGATAAATTACATCACAGTCTGGTTTTTGGAGTAAATCATGGGTATCATCAGTACTTTTATAACACAGAACAACTGCAGGCATCATAAAAAGAAAGCCTATAAACAACAACAGCCAGTAACAGTAACATTAGTAACAGTATAAACTGCATAGTAATAAGTAGCTGATTGTAATAATCTTATTTTATTAGTTTTTTTTCATTTTTCCTTCTTAAAAAGTTCCTTTTCAGAAATATTGATAAAACACATTATGCGTATCATTCGTTTTTCATAACTATTATAAAATGTGGCATTGTTCCTCATAAACGTAAGAAAAACATAATTAGGCCTGTTACAGTTATTACACCTAATCGCATATGTTTGAGATTATCACAATAATTTGAGATCATCACAATTATTTAAGCTGACTACTATCATTTTCCATGTTAGACTTAACAAAAATATTATTAATAATAGTAATATATTAGTGGGTTGAGACAAATAAATGTGTAAATGCATTCACTGAGACACATCTTGGGTGTAGTTCTTATATGTTTAATGCATGTAATGTTGGTTTATTTGTTAGCTGTGTAGCTAATTCTAATGTTTTTAGCATACATGCTATCAAAATGAGAGGTTTTTTTTAAATATAAGCTTTGCATGACTACACATGATTCTCTGTATGTGAGATGTGTGCACACTCAACAGTGTAGTGTACCAACTTGACAGCACTACCAGTGTTAGCCATCTAGTAAACATAGCTAGGAAGCAAGATGGCTAATAAGCCAATTTGGCCTCTTTTGTCTTGTACTTTAATAAATGCACATAATGAAAAGAGGACAATTTAGTCATTAATCACAATTATTGATGTGACAATTAATCTGCAAAATTCATGATTGTGACAGCCCTAATTGTGATACATATTGTGTATTGGAAAAATGTCCTTAAGTACTGTGATGATTGTTTGCCATATTACTCACCCTTATAGATGTGATGAAAAACAGAAGGTGAATATAAATATAATGTAAATATACAAATATAAACCATGATGAGCTTTTCTCCATGCAGAACCCTACTGAGATTCTGAACCTGCCTATTTTCTTGCTTTCTTATAAGTCATAATGACTTCCGTCTGTTATTTGAGTGAGTCAGCTTTAAATGTGGAGCTGCAGTTGTGCTAAAAGGTAGCATAGAGGCTATGCTGTGTACAAAATCTCAGATACTTATTGAACCCTGTAGAAAGTCTCAGATGCTTTTTGAACCCTATAGTACGGCCACATGTTTGACCCAAAAATATGCAAAAAGAGAAGGAAAAAAAACGAAAGGTATGCAGAGGCATGCCTGTCCATGGCTTTTTGAAACTCCTCTATAAGTAGAGGTTTAAGATTTAGCATCTCCTGCTCTAAAAACACTGGATTACTCCAAAACAGGGTGCTTTATCTAAATGCACACTGGTTGGAAGGAGCAGCAAGCTGTTCAGTAGACTCAGTAAGACCTTAATCACACCTCTGTTGATATAGTCTGTATTTTCAAGGGGATTGGGAGGGAGCAAATAATCCTGTTAATGCTGTTTTTTTCTGTTCAAAAATGATGTTGTGATGCATACTCACAGTTTGCTTTTACACTTAAAATGCTCTTTGCTGTAAATTCAGCATCCTTGCCATTTGCACATTTTTTAAAATAATCTCTTATTTTTGCTCTTCTATTGTATTCATACCTTCAACAGAGGTGGGTAATACCAATGCAAAAATTCATGTATTAAAGGGGCCATATCCTGTAGTTATTTGTATTTTATTTTTTCACATGAGGTCCAGCTATGATGTTGGTGTGGTGTTTGTTTTTACATGACCACGTTCTAACCTCTCTTTATCCCTTAGAATTACACAGGCTGTTTTTGTTACTGTGCTTTTAAGACTGAGTGTGTTTGACCTCTGTTCTGATTGGCTGAAACACTGCTTAGAACTTCAGTGTGAATGGGTGGAGCTAAACTTCTGTAGGCTGAACAGGTGGAGGATAAATTGTCGCTGTCTGACAAAAACTTTGCATGTCCAAAATGGTAACTATACAGGATGAGGAAAACCATTCGTAACTTTTAATGGAAGTCAATGTAAAGTGATTTTATGTAAAGTTATTTTGGGCCAGTTCTGTTGATCCATTTGTCATGGAATTTTAATTCAATTTAAAGGGCATGTAGTGTTTTTAAATGATGCCAAAAAATGAAAAGTGCAAAAATGTAGATGCAAAATTTTGTTCTGATGGTGATAGTATGTAAATGTATTGGTTTCTGTGACATCACAGAAACAGGGATTTCTAAATGGGCAATTTTTGCAACTTACTTTTTTATTTATGGAACGCACAGACTAAGGAGTGAATGATATTAATAAAAAAAAAGAAATTATTCTTTTCTAAACATTTTCAACCAATTTTGCTTTTCACTTTGTTCAAGTATACATATAAACCCAGGAACATATATTTTTCAGCTATGTATTGTCATTCTGCTCTACTTGGCTATAAAAATATAGCAATTATTTTTATAATGCCACCAACTAGCCAATGCCTGTCATCTGGCATCCCCCTTTCATGCTCAAGGACTGCTGGGCAGCGCACCATTCATAGGCAGAAGGTCAGACTTTATGACTTCAGCAGCTTTAATTGCAGAATAAATGATTGATGTTAATCACATGGTCCAATGCACCGACTTCAAATGACCATTCTCTTTTGCTCCATCATCTCCCCTGTAATGACATTGTAGCCGTCAGTGGCCTGGTGGTGGTCACACATGCTCTAATGAATAGGGAAGAGGGCAGGCCTGATGGATGATGCGCAGAGTGGAGGTACAGCTGTACAGTGGCAGAGGGAAAACACTGATGTGAGCGAGCATTAAAGATTCATCCAAACAGCTGTTCCTAGCGCAGGACGCTATCACGCACAGCCATGTGCTCCGATTCCCCAATCAGACGGAGCTCAGGAAGCGGGGGTAAAATTTTTACATGAGCTGGGAGTATTGAGGCAGATGTGTGCCCGTCTGAATGATCCGCCTCGACTTTGTGAGAGTGAGTGGAACCGACGTTTGTCGCCGGCGCTCCTGCTGTTTGTGAAGCAACCCAGCTCTCGTCAACTTCGTGAAAATGTATATTGTTAGAAACACCACAGGCGCGTTCACGCAGAACTGACTGGCAGATGGAATATGTTGTCAGTGATGGTTGTCCCTTACTAGGGCTGTCCACAGCAGATTGTAAAAGTTAATTTTCTTTTATACAGTAGTTCTGACGGCATGGTCTGATTGGTTGAGAAGCGTTCTAACCATGTTGGTATTTCACAATAACTATATTATTCTGCTGAGCACCAGTTACTGTTGATAAGTTTCGACTTAAGTATGTATAAAAACAGAAAATGAATACAGTAGATAAAGTCCATAAAATAATATTTGACCTGCAGCCCATTTGGTCAGATTCTGAAGAGTGTAAAGAGAATCTGTCAAGATGGCCGGCGAAATGCTTTACATGCTGGCTTGAATAAAATTCCACTCAAGTTAATCTAGCAAATATTTAAAAAGCTGAGCTGAACCTGATATTGTGATACTTTAATGGCTCTATCTGTAATGCAAAAGCTACTACTTTTTTGAATATGAATTTGAGCTGAAAGTGCATGCTTTAATTTGAGGGTTTTTACTTCCTAATTGGTTGAATGGCGTAGGAATTACAGCCATTTGTTTGTATTCATAGTCCTTCATTTTCGGAGCTCAAAAGTTGTTGGACAGTCTAGCATAATCATAAATTGTCATTTTTAATACTTGCTTGCAAAGTCAATGACTGTCTGAAGTCTGGAGCCCATAGACATCACCAGACACTGGGCTAGTTCCCTAGTGATGCTCTGCCAGGCCTTTGTTGAGCTGTCTTCAGTTCCTTCTTTTTCTTGGGGCATTTCACCTTTAGTTTTGCCTGCAAGAAGTGAAATGCATGCTTGATTAGATTGAGGTCAGGTGTTTGCAGAATATTCCACTTGCTTGCCTTAAAAAAGTCTTGGGTTGCTTTTGCAGTATGCTTCATATCACTGTCCATCTGTGAAGTGAAGCACTATCCAGTGAAGCATGTTGCTGTTTTTGTCAGCAGTCACATCATCGATGCATACAGCTGAACCAGTTACATTGACAGCCATATGTACCCATTCCATAACACTACCTTCACCATGCTTCACAGATGAGGTGGTATTGAATCATGAGCGGTTTCCTCGTTTCTCCATACTCTTCTCTTCTCATCATTCTGGTACAAATTGATCTTCATCTCATCTGTCCAAAATGAAAATTGTTGTGATTCCTCCCCTCAATTTGGATAAATACCCTCAAATTAAAGCTGAAAGCAAGCACTTTGAGCTCATGTTAATTATTTAATTTCAACTCCAGTATGCTGTGGTAGACAGTAAAGATTTCAGTAACTTTATCAACTCAAATATTTATGGATCTCACTGTATATGGAGACGGATTCCACAGTGAGAACTGCTGAATCAAATCCTGTGTGGGGTTTCATGTGATACTGACTTGTGGACAGAGCCTGGCAGGGTTTGTGTTGTATTTCCCTCGTCAGTGCTATTGTCCTCTTGATCAAAGCGCTCAACCCCAGCTCACAATGGCATGGTAGCCCTGCCTCCCCTGCCCCTTTCCCTCAATGGTAACAGCTCAACAGCTCCACTATAATAAAAATTATTCTATGTTATTGTGTAAGATATATAGTGTTTATAGTATAAAATCGATTCCTCTTTTTGTCACAGTCCTGATCCCTCTAAGGAGAGTGATATTGCAGATCTTACAGCGCAATACAACC